CCCAGCTATGCACTCTGTGGAGTGTATGTCAGGCATACAGGAAAAGAGACGTACTGCTGAAACAATTAGTGCTGCAGTTCAGACTTGTGGTACAGACGTGTGCTTGTCATGAAGCGCTGATTAATAGGTTGCTGAAGGTTTGCCTTAATACCTGTGTTTCTAATGGTTCCTAAAAGGGAAAAAATATCATTTATAACACAGAATTAAATTAAAATGATTTTGTATTTCTAAGTATTAGTGTCTAAAAATCTACACTCATACTTTTCCTACTTGAGTCTGGCTTTAAAAAATGAATAGAATTACTGAGGACTTAAACATGTTTTCACCCTGTTACTCCTCTTTCACGCCAAACTCCTCTTCATCACTTCAGATGTGCTGAATGGTCAGGTACCAACATGTAGTCTGTCATGTCTGTCAGTCGGGTCATGGCACTAATTTGTGGCTCTGTGATCGTCAAATCTGACACGGTGACATCCTGACAGATGAAAAGACTGATTAACCTCGTTATAAACTTAAATAGGGTGACCATACGTCCTCTTTTACCCAGACATGTCCTCTTTTTGGGGGCTGTCCGGGGGAGTTTATAAAATCCTTCAAATGTCCGGGGGAGTTTTGTATGGAAGTTTTGAGTTTGTAGACTGAGTTAGAAGCGTGTAAAAAACATCAACCCGACCTGAAAAACCCTCAAAATTTACTACGTGCGACACTGTGACTCTGCCCTGCATAATCGTGTCTTCTTCTTGGGGATTCAGAATACTGCACCCTACAATTATTTGTGTTGTGTTAGCAGAGTTTAGTAAAGAGGTTCTTTGTGTTTACATGAAGTTAATTTTCTACTGTTGGTACTTTTACTGTAGAAAAACCTTCATGCATCTATTTAATGCTGCAGGTTCAGAGAAAAGGAGTCAGTCCATCAAAAATTTTGAGCAAATTCATGCACACTAAATCATTCACAAAAACAATTAGGGAACTACAACATTGCAGTTAAGTGTCTTTACAGTGAGACAGTTTGTTTGTAATTGTTTAAGTACTTAAATTGAGACTTTGGACCAACATCATTTACAGTCTTTTGATGTTATTGACATGTTACTTGGAAGAAGAAAAAAACTAAAATCATTTTCTCTCCTGAGCCTCAGCTGAACCTTATGTAATATAAATATGATACCAACACCGTGTTTCCTGCTTCCCTCGAGCATTTCTAATTTGATGAGCCTGCGGCAGACAGAAAATATGAAAGTACACTGAGGCTATGTGCTTGAGGGCTTTCTGACCCTTCCTCCTCCTCCTCCTCCCTCACTTCGTTCCAGGCTCTCTGTCTGTCTGTCTGTGCTTCTACGTGACCGGTCCAGGGTCTGTCAGAGCCAGTGCAGGCCGCCATGGCAGCAGATAACACTAACTAGCTTCCTGCCATTACTGCTAATTGCCCCCCAGCCCGGAACCGTGCAGACACCCTGGGTGGGGTGTGACTGAAGAGTGTGTGTGCGATGTTTGTGTGTTTATGATATGTAGGTCAGTCCCATGTCTAAAAACTGCACCTGTCAATCACTGGATTCATCACTGTAATGATCACTGACTCTGGAAAACCATTAAGAATTCGTTTTTTTTTTAAATTCAGTCACAGTTTTATGATCTGGATGTCTTCTGATATAGTAAAAGGATCTCTTTTTTTTTTTAGTGATATAAAGCAAGCAAAAAAGAAACATTAAAGAAAATATATATGATACATTTTCTCCAAAACAAAGAAAAGAAAAACATGGAGTAGACATGTATGTACAGAATGTACTGCATGAGAAGGATACAGGGACAATGACTCATCAGTGTCCCTGATGAAGTTCCTGTGTCATTCATAAAGGAAGGAAAGGATGTTTAGATCCTGCACTGTATGTTATCACTTGTTCCATCAGTTGATGTATACAGCAGGATATAAGACCTTTGGGAGGGCTAACAATGAACATAATGCATCTTTAAAGGACATCAAACATAGACAATTTAGCCGAGCACATGTGTAAAGAGAAAAAAGGGACAAACGACAACAAAGAAGTTGGGTGTAGTAACTGACCAAGCAGCACAGATTTAGCACAGAGACTCGTGAAATGTACATTGTCATTTAGCAGACGCTTTTATCCAAGGCGACGTACTTTGGATAACAACTGGGCGGGGTCGAGTGTCTTGCCCAAAGTCACTTCAGCACATGGACAGCTCTGGAATCAAGCCCTCTAACCTTCTGATTGGGAGACGATTGATTCTACCAACTAAGCCACAGCTGCTCAGAAACATGGAAGTTGGAATTTGGATTGACTTGTTTTTTTAACTTAAGTAGAGCCAAGTATATCGGGTTGATTAATGAAGTTAAGAAGTAATTAAGTGAGTAGTTTGTTTGGATAAAGCAGGGTTGCATTTTTTAATAAGCTGGGTCTGGCCTTTGTGTTAAAGGGATATTCCGGCGTAAAATTAAGTAAGGGTCAAACACACCGCAACACTGAGTTAGACACCCCCTTGAGAGATGAATGTTTCCGACTGCTTGCTTCTCTAGTTATACCAACTTTAGTAACGACCGCACGATAGCAATACACAGCGGTCTACGTCTCCATGCGCAAACCTCAACCAAAAAGCCACTCTATAGCAGTGTTGTTTTCGTCATATTTCGTCAGATATTTTCGTCAACGCCACCGTCAAAAAAGGGAAATATTTTTGTCAACGAGAACAACACTTGTTGTTTTCGTTGACGAAAATATTTCCATTTTCTTCCACAACGAAGACGTAACGTTGACGAGCTTAACATAAATCGGAGATGACTAAAATGTGACGAGACGAAAGTGCGTTTACGTTGATGGGACGAGACGAAAATGACGAACAGAGTTGCAAAACTCTGTCAGTTAAACGCTAAACATACAGGAGCAGCTTCAGTCCGCTCTGACAGCTCTCATCAGCCTGCTGTACTCCTCCAACACACAGACACACACGCGCGCGAGCACACACACACACGTGGAGTTTTGTTTTTGTTGACGAAGACGTTGACGTTGACGAAAATATTTTCGTCAACGTCATGGTTGACGAAAACAACACTGCTCTATACCACTATTCAGCTACATTTTATTGTCAGTCAAGCTATTCCAAATGATCATGGCGAGTAAATAAAACATGAACAAAATTTTGTTATACAGCAAAAGTAGAAAGTTCGCCTGAGGCTGCTGCCAGTTTGACGTAAACTTCCAAAGGTGTTGTGGGTAACAGGAGTGAAAACACTCTGAATACACAGCTGCATGTCTGGCTTTTGTGTTTGCAAACGTTTATCTGGATGCAAATTGTCAAAGCGGCATCTTTCGAACAGTTATGTAAGTTACTGGATGAACTAATTGAGAAAATAAAAGCTTTGTGCCAGCTTCATGTGGCAGAGAATCCCGACAGCCTACTCCAAACACTGAAAGTGATCAAAACCACCGGCCGTCTTTGGCTGGATCTTTATGTGATAAACATGAGAACTGCCAGAGGCAGAGGAGTGAACACGCTTGAGAAGACTTGGCTGACTAAGTTTTAGTGACTTCAGAAAGATTACGGGATCCTCAGCAGAGTTATTGGCAATCTTGTGTGAGCGTCTACAGTCTGTTGACGAGAAAACTGCATCAAAGCAGACCAGCATCCTGTGGGCAGCCCAGGGCAGGACCAGTGGGCACAAGGCGGCAGCGAGGTGGGTGTCCTTAAGCAGGCACCACATCGTCTGCCACACACACACACACACACACACACACACTAAAATTTAGCACAAAAGGCCACCATGTAATTGATGTAGTGTCAGAGCTCTGGGGATGGAGAGACAGGAGGATGGGAGGGACGCACAAACACACCATGTGCAGCGCTTTAAAACCCCAGGAGCAGTATTGTGAACAAATATAATCTAAAATTAAGGGTAAAACTGTTGTTAGGGAATGAGTTCAGTCAGTGAAGGCATTTAAAATGTGATTGTTTAAGTCGAGGAAGTTTGAGGACAAATCTAAACAGCAAAAATCTTTTAGAAAAGAACATGAAACAAATAAAAGTCTACATGTTTCCTCCATTAATTCATGTTTGAGTAGACTGATTCACAATTCAAGTGTGGTACAGATTAATTCCTCAACTTTAAGGTTAAATTTATTAACTGATGGTCACTGCTTACTACACCAAAAAAGTCATATTTAATTAACTGTTACACAAAAATGTTAGTTCATGAGTGCAAACTTGTTGTTTTTGTAGATTTTCCATGTTTTGAATTTTAAATAAATGTAGAATGGTTTGTTGTTTTGTGTCACATCTTTCTATCGTGGAATGGTGTGAAGGAAAATCTGGATAACTTGTTTTTTTTTTGTTTTGTTTTTTTCCACAGATGATTTGCATTAAAGTTATTGATGTAACATTAATCAATTCTTCATTGGCTTTTTGTTCAGTTCTGGGATTTTTATACACAGCCCTCTGAGGTTCGGCTCAACGATATTTCTGACTGCCCGCTCGCTGTGTCCTGATTTGGCCCCTCATCAGTAAGTGACGGTCTGTTAGTCGTACACGTGTCTGCGAGTGGGTCTTTATTTAAAATGGTATTTGTCTATGAAAAAAAGCTGCTGTTTGACCTGCTCTTCTCATGAATTCACTCAAATCCTTTCTGCTCTCTTATGTGTTACACTAACTCTGTGTTTCTGTAGTAACGTATGTGGTTGTCTGTGGAGGAGGAATATTTTATCCCGGTTTTTATTTGACCTTCTTTATGCTTTTCAGTGTTTAACATGAAATATTAGAAAATGTAGAGGCTAAGACATTTAAGTTATACAAGAATGTCGAGATAAATACCAGGATAAAATATTCCTTATCCACAGTCAACCATATATATACACATACACAGTGGTGTGAAAAAGTGTTTGCCCCCTTCCTGATTTCTTAATTTTTTGCATGTTTGTCACACTTAAATGTTTTAGATCATCAAACAAATTTAAATATTAGTCAAAGACAACACAAGTGAACACAAAATGCAGTTTTTCAAAAAAAAGGTTTTTATTATTAAGGGGGAAAAAAATATCCAAACCTACATGGCCCAGTGTGAAAAAGTGATTGCCCCTTAAACCTAGAAACTGGTTGGGCAATAACTTGCAACGAGTCTCTTTCAGCGCTGTGGAGGAATTTTGTCTGCCTCATCTTTGCAGAATTGTTGTAATTCAGCCACATGTGAGGGTTTTTGAGCATGAGCCGCCTTTTTAAGGTCATGCCACCGCATCTCAATAGAATTCTGGTCAGGACTTTGATGAGGCCGCTCCAAAGTCTTCATTTAGTTTTTCTTCAGCCATTCAGGGGTGGACTTGCTGGTTTGAGTTGGATCATTGTCCTGCTGCAGAACCCAAGTTCATTTCAGCTTGAGGTCACGAACAGATGGAGCGGCAAAACAGCCCCAGACCATCACACCACCACCACCATATTTTACTGTTAGTATGTTCTTTTCCTGAAATACAGCATTACTTTGACGCCAGATGTAATGGGGCACACACCTTCCAAAAAGATCAACTTTTGTCTTGTCAGACCACAGAGTATTTTCCCAAAACTCTTGGGGATCATCAATTTGTTTTCTGGCAAAATTGAGACGAGGTAGATAAACCTACCTGAGTACATGAGGTAGATATACTTTTTAAATACAATATTGACATGAAATATGAAATAATGGTGTGTAGAGGAACATGTCAGGTGAGAGGATGATGTCTGCAGTTATAATATGTGGAGGAGTTGTTGTAAATAAAGGTAGTTATATACATAAACTGTTATTTACTGTCACACAGTGAGTGTTTGTTAACAGGTTATACGTTTCGTTGCTAAGCGGTGTGTTGCTGAGTTGTTGTATTTTCATGTGATTCTATGTTTTTACCCTCAGTGCAGACACACTGTCCTCAACCAAACATGCAGCGTGATTTATACATTAAGATTGCCGTTGCCATTTATTGGAATTATATCTAACAGTTAAATTCTAATTACATTTTTTCTTAAGATTTAATATAAGTTAAGAAGTCCAATTTCACCTTGTGACAAAAATGTAAAAAGAGTTTGAATTTAATCATCTTAAAGAGTATTTGCTGATGTTTTTTTTTTTTTTTCATTGACTATAAATAAAAAATTTCACGTTAAGATTAGAGGTAGGAATGTGAGATAACATGATGAAAGCATGTACAGTTGAGACAAAGATCTATTGAAGTCCTCTTTCTTTTATCTTAATTTCACACAGACAAAGTCAGAATTGAAATCATGACAGGATCCAAATTTTGTTAATTTCTGGTAGGACTAATTTTATTTAAAGAAATTCGATGGTTTAGACCCATTCCCTTAAAACAGACCTTATGGTTCACCGTTTGTTGCTTTTAAACTGTGCACGCTTACCCCTCTATTTCAGAAAACAGATTTTTTTTTTTTTTTACCAGCCCTGTGCACAGGTCTAATAAACACACAGGGGTTCTCTTTAACTGAAGAGTTTCTACTATGATCACCTTTGTGAGTCCATCATATTATATCAAACAAATCCGCAGCGACCCTGACCATTTTAAACAAAGCTGTGTTTGTATTTTGGAAGACAAGAGGGAACAGCTTCTCAACAATACTGATCTCTGCTGTCACCTACTGGTCATTGCCAGTTACAACATTTTTTACTTCAGTGTCTGTGAAATCACACCTTTTATAATTTACAGCTACTGTTGACTGGGTGAATCAGGCTTGGATAGAGAATTTCCGGATCTGAGTGTGTAAATGAGTGTCTCTGGGTGTGTATTAATTCATCCAGCCCTGTCAGAGACTGCAGACTGGAAATTCCTTCAGGCCTCCTCATCCTCTGCTGCTACCATTGTCGGCATGTTGGAGACACATCAGGACACGTCTGATTTTGTCTTCTGGTATGCTTTTTTTTCTTGTTAAGAAGGTATGGAAACATCTCTCCATAAAGATATGCAGTCTCTGCCTAGTATAGACTGTAAGAAAACTTAGGAGGACTCAGCGAAGGACACCTAATCAACCATAAAACATGTTACAGTGGATATAAAAAGTCTACACACCCCTGTTCAACTGCCAGATTTTTGTCATGTAAAAAAATGAAATCAAGATAAATAAGTTCACAACTTCTTCCACCTTTAATGTGACCTATAACCTGTACAACACAACTGAAAAACAAACAGAAATCTTTTAGGGAGGTGTAGTAAAAATAAACAACTGAGATCATGTGGTTGCATAAGTGTGCACACCCTTTAATAACTGGGGATGTGGCTGTAACATTCAAACTCAGGTTAAATTGGAGTCAGCACACACCTGTCACCAATTAAAGTGCCTCTGATCAACCCCAAATTAAGTTCAGCTGTTCTAGTAGCTTTTCCTGACATTTTTGTAGCCACATCTTCCAGGACAAGCCATGATCTGCAGAGAGCTTCCAAAGCATCAGAGGGATCTCATTATTCAAAGATGTCAGTCAGGTGAGGGTTACAAAAGAATTTCCAAGGAATTAAATATACCATGGAACAAAGTGAAGCCCGTCATCATTAAGGGGAGAAAATATGGAACAACGGTGACATTACCAAGAACAGGATGTCTGTCCAAAATTGATGATAAGACATGAAGAAAACTGGTCAGGGAGGCTGCCACACAGCAACACTGAAGGAGCTGCAGGAATTTTCCGGCAAGTACTGGCTGTGTAGTACATGTGACAACAATCTCCTGCTGTCTTCATATGTCTGGGCTGTGGGGTAGGCTGACAAGACGGAAGCCTTATCTTACAAAGAAAAACATCAAAGCCCGGCTTGATTTTGCAAAAAGACATCTGAAATCTCCCAAACACGTGTGGGAAAATGTGCTATGGTGTGATAACACAAAGTTGAACTCTTGGGGCATCATTGCAAAAGGTATATTTGGCACAAAATCAACACTGCTCATCGCCAAAAGAACACCATACCCACAGTGAAGCATGGTCGTGGCAGCATCATGCTTTGGGGCTGTTTTTCTTCAGCTTCACCTTAGTCAGGGTGGAGGGAATTATGAACAGTTCCAAATACCAGTCAGTGTTGGCACAAATCCTTCGGCAACCAGGTTATTTTAACTTTTCTATTTTTTATTTTTCCCCTTAAAGGTTTCAGTTTGTTTTTCAATTGCATTGTACAGGTTATAGGTCACATTAAAGGTGGAAAAAGGAAAATATTCATCTTGCTGTCATTTTCTTACATCACTAAAACCTGGCAGTTGAACAGGGGTGTGTAGACTTTTTATATCCACTATATGTCTATCCACTATATACTATATGTCATTTTCAAAAACTCTGAATAGCATATACCCTATATTTTGAAAGTAAAGCTCCTCCATTGTTTTTCTCTTGTTTTATGTAGAAAACAAACAAAACATTTTAATATCTGCAAACAACCAATTCACTTCTGTTACTTTAGCAAACAGCTTTGTGCTCACTTGTTCAACTGAAAAAGACTGCATTCAACATGTTTAACTTCTGATTAAAACTACTTTGTCTTGAACTTGAAATCTGCCACTCACATAATCGTTGAGCTGCTTCATTCAATGTGGGCAGTGTGCATGACTCGTCCGAGCATGTCTGTGAATAAATAAACTAAAATTTGTTGGTGGATCCACTCTGCAGCTGCTGTTACAGTAAATCCAAACTCACAAAAGAATATAAATGGCAGTGATGTGGAGAGACGGATCAGGCTGCTGGATACAGCCACAAAACCTTGCCAACTTTGAAACTGAATATCAGCTGATTGTCCAGACGGTGCAGGCTGAGCAGCGAGTAACAGAGACGACCTTTGTTTCACAACAGGCCGCCGAGGTAACGTATACTGACTCAGAGTGACGACAAAACACAGAAAACAGCTGCTGGTCTGTATTTGTAATTGAGGTAATGTTCCCGCATTGTTGGCTAAAGGTGGTGATAGCATCCACATAATGAGTACCACACACTTCAGAAAAAGACAACGACTGAGGGCTTGGATAACTTTAACGACAAGAACAACTCCCTAAAGTTTCATCTGTGCATCCCTCGCTTGTGTCTTTTCCCTGCGTCCTGGTCCTTCAAACTAGTAATTCATGGAGAGATGCATGAAGAGAGGGAGAGAGGGGACAAGAGAAATATCTTACAGGAGACATGAAACATCCTTGCATGATTCTAAAAACTAACTTTCTGTCTTTCTTCTTTGATCTTTGGCTGTAGCATATGAGGTGTCTACCAGGGTGTCAAGCTGCTATTTACCTTTATGTTTTAGACACAATGAGGTGAGAATGATTCAGATCAGTTCACTTGTAGTTATTCTTGATAGACAGCACTCACAGAAATGAAAAAAAAGGGTGCCATAATTGCTTTTAAATGCAGTGATTAGTAGTTATACAACAACTAGAAACATGGAAAATCGAAGAGTTTTTTTTAAGTTTAGAAGACCTTTATCACTAGACAGCTGCATGTTGCTCAGTCCAGACTCCAGGGTAGAGTGAAGCTCTCGTTCTCCAGCTCTTTCTGAATGACCGATGTGAATCTGGCCCGCTGTTCTGGGCTGAAATGATTTTTCCAGTCTCCTATGACACCTACATGAACACGTATTTTGGTCAAACACTGTAAGTGGAAGGACAACAATTCCTCTCTCTTCAGGTTTATCATATTGTAATTTTGTCAATTACTTTGTTGCTGTACTACATGAAAACAATTGACCAAAAAACTGAAGACATGAGTATCCTGATTCTTCCTTTTTCATTTGCAGTTGTATTTTCCCATCATACTCCTCAATACAGACCATGTTCTGATCTTTGTACTTGACTGTAACTCAACTCAAAGTTGGTTGGTAAAAAAGTAGAGTAACTGATAACAGATGAAGAGATTCTTACCTTTCCTGAGGAATTGAGATTTGTCATGGTCCAGGTACATCTTGGGCACCAGGCTGAAGTTGGACATGCTGTTGTCCTTCATGGTCTTGAAGGAGCAGTGCTCTGCTATCTTCTGGATGGTTTCCTCTCTCAGATCTCGTCCAAGGAAATCTGACATCCTCTTGAGAGCTGCAGGAAGGTCCTAAAACAAGAGTAGATGTTTTATTTTATATGAAGCAACAGGTTTTTGTCTTCTTCAAATATGATAAACAACCTTAAATGAAGAACTTTTAATCAACCCAACGTGAAGCCCGGATTATAAACCGTGACTTTACATGAACTGTGTATATCATGTGTGTCACTAGTTGATGATGGAAACTGACATATTTTCAGGTAGTTTCTCTTCACTGTGATGCTACAGGGATTGGGATGGGCTTGGACTTAATTGGCACCAGTAGTTGGTGGGACTTAATTCTTTTTTATTTGTTCTGGCAGGAGCTTGGAAAGTCTAAAAAGTGTTGTTCACCTGTTTTCTGCTTTCAAACCCCTTGATGCATTTTATTTCCTACTGATTTTACGTTTTTAGCCTTTATTTTGGTCCTCATGGTCTCATTTTATGTTGCATGGTTCTTGTAATGTCTGGGTTCCTTATGACATTGAAAATGACCTTCAAATTCTGAGGCCTTGATTTGTGCTTTTTGTTTTTATTTCCTTGTGCTGAAGCTTATGTTTGTCAGAGCACTTTGTAAACCTCTGTTTTTGAAAGTGCTACACAAAGAGTTATAGTCATAATTATTGTTATTATTTATTATTATTATTATTCGTAGTAGTAGTAGTAGTAGCATTTGTTGTAGCAGTATTACAAAATATGACTGCAGTAAATCTAACACTTCCTCTCTCACAATTATTGATCACCAATTTTCACAGGGTGACAGAGAGCTGGACCAGATCATAAATAAGTGGTCATTTATTGGTTAGTTTGGGCTATAGTGATAGAGCCAAATGTGATATCTTTTTATTGTAAAAACACCTGCTCAGTTGTCAAAATAGTAATGAATTTTTCTTTATCTACCACCATATCATACCTTTTTATGACAGTGTATTTAGAATGCTGTACCTGAACCATTTCTTCATATGTCATGTGCATTATTCTGTCACCCAGCTCTGTCTGTTTCCAGCTCTTCACATGGTCCGTCCATTTCCCAAACAGCACTGCAGACGATAACCAACAGCACAAATAAATTCAATCACTGCTCCACACTGGAGATAAGGCTTCAGTCAACAAGTCCAGGGTGGAAAATAGGAGATCATTTCATTGAACAAGAGCGAGACAATTCAATAAGGTTAAGGGGACAAAAATTAGAAACAGCAGATTTCTTATGGTAATCCAGTCACCTACATTTTTACCACCCTCAATTTAAAAATGTTGATGTGCTGAGTGAATAAAAGCTGTCAATAAAAGCAAAATTAAAAAGTTGAAAATCATAAAAATGCTATATCTGATTGAAAATAGTGCAGAGACAGCATCCAAAATGTTGAAACTGAAAGATGTTGTTGCTCCTTTTCATCATTTCTCATCATAACCCAAAGCCTGCCCCAACCTCTTTGAGACATGTTTTAAAACTAATGTATATATATATTTTTTTCCATACAGCAAAGGATTTTTCAGTTTGATGCTTTCTTTGGGGTTGTACATTTAGACTAACTGTTTTATATGAGACGAAACCTCCGACCTTTGCCCTCCAAGAAAGTGTTCATGAACTCGTCAAATGTTCCCGGATCTGGTAGGAATCCAGCCATCTGATGAAAGAAGTACGAAGACACCATGACGTCTTTGGGATTCCTCATCACATAGATCACCTAAAGCAAAGAGACAAAAGAAACCACTTCACGTCAAGTTTGCATGAAGTAGATGTGTATCTTTAAATAAAGGCAGAGTCTGTCTACACCCATTTACCTTTGCTTTGGAGGTGTGGATGGAGGGAGGCATGAGCTGGTAAGGAAGATGTGAGACCATCGCCCGAGGAGAAGCTAGCTTATCAACAACCAACTCAATTCTTTTCTCCTCCAGCCAGGGGACTCTGTCCCAGTTAGGAATGGTATGAATGGGAGTCAGATCACCTCCATTCAGTAACAGAGGGAGGATCTCTTGCATCCAGACTGTACCTGCGGAGTTGTGTAAAATGGTGAATAAGTCTGACACTGTAGTTTCCACGTTAAACAAAGTTAAATGAAGCTCTATTATGACTCTTGATTTGATACAAGACAAGACACAATGACATACTCAGAGATGACACAGGCCAACAGACTGAAATCATGGAAATGCAATCAGACCGGGACGCTAAGGCAGAAGAACTACCGCTACTGCAGTGCAAAATGATGACTATGATGATTATTATTTCAAGGAAATTCCCTACAGCAGTCCGTAATGGACTGGCCCCAGGTCTGGCTACAAACAAGTGGCTGCTGGAAGAGAGTAGGTGAGTTGTGTTTGGTCTCTATAGAAATCAGGCAAAGTTAAAAAGATGTTTGGTGGTTAGTACTATGGCTGGGACCCTATATGTACTGTTGATGAAGTTAGGTGCTGTTCTGAGCATTATTTGTGGCTATAGAGTGGCTTTTTGGTTGAGGTTTGTTTATGGCTCCTCAGACCGCTGTGTATTACTGTCCTGCAGTTGTTACTAAAGTTGGTATAACTAGAGAAGCAAGCGGTCGGCAACATTAATCTCTAGAGGAGGCGTCTGACTCGGTGTTGCGGTGTGTTTGACCCTAAATCAATTTTATGCCAGAATATCCCTTTAACAAGAGCTTATCAGTAAGAAGGATGATCATTACACTGCAGTCATTTTTAGTGGTTTAACAGCTGTGAGGGAGTCCGACCAGATGACTGTCATCAAATCTATAAAAAAAAAAAAAAAAAATCAGACTTTGACCTTTTTTCTGAGGCACATACGCACAGTGAGTGAAACATTTCACTCTTAAAGATAACAGGACAAATTTGTCTAACCCTAAAACTGCTTTTACATGAACAGAAATAGAGATAAAAGGCATCTCTTAAACACAGGGGGGCGCCATGATCAACACAAACCAAAAGTTGCACACAGCAGCTTAAACTATCAGAAAATGATATTTAATGTGTAATATGTGTTCATGTTTAGGCTAATTTTAATGTATAGATACACACAGGTAACAGGAATCAGTTTATGGTGGGAGACATGCACCCTGATCTTTTGACAGACTCTCATTAAACCTGCATGAAAATGTGTTTTCTGAGATTGGAGTTGAGATTTCAGTTCTCTTGGCTTCACATTTCCACCTGGTAGCCAATTTAAACGCGTTAAAATATCACTGAGTTCTGCTGCTTACATCCTCTTTTTTATCACTAGTCCTTATCTGTGCCCCATTTATGTTATATAACTGTCATCAAACACTGATACTGATGTACACTTTAACCCAAAGTTACCTCTCAGATTCAATCGTAAAGGCGATCTGTACTTAGATATCTGTATTGTAATTATAAACTCCTCAAAGAAATATCCATAACCTGCATCGGTCCAGCTGTAGTATTGCCTGGAAGACAGAGTCAGACTGAGTGAGAACATCCTTCAACACTTTCTCTCACAGTCAACATCTCCTAACATTTCACCCATTTCTACACTACTCTCCGATTAATGGAGTGGAACGCAAAATGAATAACACATCTCTGCATCTCGACTGAAAAGAAATAGTCAATTATCTGATACATTATCTGACAGAGACACAGTTTCTGTAGCACAAACCATGCACCGACCTGACTTTGGGTACACGACTGCAACGACATCATCATCTTTAAAGGTGAAGTCCTGCGCAAACTTTAAGCTCTCCAGCGAGTGGGTCTCTTTAGGAACCAGAAGTCCGTGATACAACAAATACAACTCCTCAGAAGACATGGTGTCGGTAGAAAAGTCGAGTCCAGAGTCTGTGATATATGAAGAGGGCGCTACAGTGCTGCGTTCAAACGCGTAGGAAAACGCAACTTCCGCAGAAACACAGCTGAGGGCAGAAGGACGCTAAACTGGAGTTTGACCTATATCAATCCACTCGTGTTTTACTTTCATCTCCATCATCATCTGTATTATCCAGAAAGGTTTTAAGGGTAAGTAGAATAGCATTAAGAGTGCCCGTCGGTTTGTTTCCCCACAGAAACAGAAAATATTTTGCCACGCATTTTCAAGATGGTCCAATATTAGTCTGTTTGGTATCATGACATCCAACACTTGGTCATAATAATAATAATAATTAGCAATAACATATATATGTATTATATAATAATGGTCAATAATAAAACTTGATTTAATATTGACACCTAAGGCTTAAACGAAGGCTGTAGATCACTGCGTCTTGAACTGTGCCACGTGTGACCGGGACACGAGAAAATATGAGTAAAATGCAGAAAAACTGGTTCCCAGGATGAAGGACCAGAAGCAAAAAGGCAGTTACATGTTTTGAATAACAGATATGCATTTTGGAAATATATTTGGGTACAACAATCAAGTAGGTTTCTTAGGCAGATCTGGCATCAGTTCAACCTGCATTTAGATACTTAATGCACTCAGATGAAAGGACAACCAAACTACCGAATCTGGTGATGAGTGGTACTTTCATATGGTAACAGGGACTTTGATGTTTTGCATGATATTCAATATTTTTATGTGATTAATAAAGCTTTTCATTCTCGAGAACATTTACTGGAAGAGGCCAGGCCAAAGATGCCAGACCCACACATATTCCCTTTGTTGTACACCTTTTATTTTGAAACCAAAGTTTCTCCTGTCCATTCACAGTTTTTCTTTAGTCCTATTCTCTATTTAGCTGTTCATCTATTCAGGTCTGTTGGCTGTAGTCTTTTTTATACCTTTGTAAGTAACAGGTAACAGTAGACATGTGGGAAAGAAGTGAGAACTTCAAGAACCCCATCATAACATGGAAACAAGAAACTCAGCGGCAGAAAGAATTCTCTTTTGAGTTTAGTGTATGAGGGGCAAAAGTTTGGATCCTATCACAAGTTAAAGCAAAAGTTTTTGAAAATCAAAATATACCTTTTTTGTTGTACTGACAATCCTATTGTTTTTTGTAAATTACAGGGGAATTTACAAGGACATTTGTCTGCCCACACTTGTATTTGTTACAAAGTGTTTGTATATAATATCTGTCTCGACTTAAAAGTATTAAATTACATCTCAACAATTAGGTCTTTAACACACAGTCTTATCGCTTCACCATAAAAAAAGAAGCTCTGAGTCTGAGATAAGACAAAAAACATGTTTATGAATCAAACATCAGAAACGTTCTTAGTTTAACACATCATGGCGACATTGCTCACGTTCTCATAATGTGGGCCGTTTTCAGCTTATTTAGATAGACTTTACATTTTTATTATGATTTCATTAGAAATAAGAAAAGTCTGGCAACAGTTATGGGTAAACTACTTGTTAAATTTGCTGAGATATAAATAAATTGATAAATTTGTTGCAACATCATGAACTATAACTGTCATTTATTACATTTCAATTCACTACTTTTAAACTTTATAATTCCCACTGGCTGAAGGGAGACGTAATAGAAAAGAATCAAGAGATTTCTAAAGTATTAATTCATCGGCGGTCCTGCTGGTATAAAAATCATCAGAGTTAAACATGATTGATCATCCGGACGCTTCCTGCTGTCATGACTCGTCTGAGCACAAACAAAACAAACCAGACAAACTTGTCAGCCTGACAGCTGGTAACCGGTACACTGGCCTGTTTCGTGTGTCAGACCAGTCCAACTACCAAACATCAGCACGTACTCTTCATCAGTCTTCAGTGTTGTGAGGTAAAAAAAAGACCAGAGGAAACTCAGGAGTACGTTCATGATTTTCTGACAAACTCAGTTTCAGTCTGGACCAAAGAGATACTGCTGCAGGATTGTCTCAGTGCGCTGAGTCTTTCTTAATTACTGTGGACCAGGGTGACAAAGAGAAACAGTGAGCAGAGAGAGATGGCGCCGGTCAGCACGGCTTTCACCAGCAGCACAGTCCAGCTGCCCAGCAGGAAGACGTGGACAAACAACCTGCAGACAAATCACAAAAAACACACCATGTGTCAGATTGGCAGAAAACCTTAAGAAGTGATAAAAATATTTAATCTGCCTTTTCACCTCAAACTCCAATATACCTAAAATGTCTAATTCACTCTATAAAGGCCATCTCTGCGAATGCTTGATTATTAAGTAACCCACATTGAACAATTGCACTTGTGTAACAAACTAACTCCACCCAGTGGTTCCTGAAATTAAGTGCAACCACCACATAGAGGTTCACCCTGGATGAACTGCTCCAACCTCCAAAATAAAGTTTTCCTCCGCCTTAATCAACATTCATCTAAAACACACACAAAAAAACACTCCTTTGTTTAAAGACTCTAATGTCTGTCCATCTACCTGGAGCTGGGCTGTTATTATCTGACTTAACTTTAAACAGCTGAAATCACCTGAGTTTAAGTACAGAAAATGACCCTTTCAAAGCAAAAAAGTCAACAACAGATAGGATTTTTTCCTTCTTCTTCTTTCTGTTTTTTAACATACTACTTTCATTTGAAAAACCTACACAGACACAACTAATATTCAGCTAGTCTTAAATTTCGAAATGTACACATTTTCTACATGTAATAAAATGAAGATTTCTGTGTGCCTCAAGATATTTCATGGTCTAAATTGAGCTTATTTTGAAAGGCACGCATTATGTGGTCCTCCTCGGTTTCTTATGAATGTGGCCTGAATGCAGTAAAAATAAAAAAATTTTTGTCTTTATTTTGTGAAATTTGATATTTATTCACTTTTATCCACGCAGAGATGCATACAAGTAAAAAGGTTTCATTTTGCTGGTCTCCATTTTGTGCAATTTATTTGATATTTTCTGTACACGCAACTTCAGTAGTTGTCGCCCTCAGTTCATGTGCTCTGAAATGCACTTTACTCGATAAAATGGGTGTATTTATGTTAAAGATTTGAGTCTTCGAAGGTTATTTTTATAAAAAATAAATGTGTTTGGTTTGAATTTTATAAAAGTGGGTCTTGACTTAAGGACCAGTTGAGAACCACTGCTCTAAACCCTTAAATAATCAACATGTTCCACCTCTTTGTTAATTTCCACTCCTGAAAATAAGTCCAGGGTGAAATAAAGTTCTCGAAAGTTTAGATGTTAAGTGTGTGTAAAAGGATGTCACTCTCACTCCATCAAGAAGGCCTTGTAGACACAGAGAGCCAGCAGCACGGTGACAGGAAGTCGGAAGCTTTTCGGAAGGTCGTACCGGGTAAACATCCACACCACTGCTGCCATGGCAATATAATGGACCTAGAGAGAAGATCAAATCCCTAATTTTAACTTTGTGGTTTGACAGATTCAGATACTACTTTTCAAGACTCAGATTATATTGACAAAGGCAATAATCTAAAGAAAGACACATTGTTAAATCTGAATAACAGATGTAAACTAACATCTTATTGTAATAATTTCAGAAGTTGACTGAAGACATAGAACATGAGCGAGACAGCAGAGGAGGTTAGATACTCACCAAACTAATGTTAGAGTCAAAGCTCATCTGGATGTATTTCCAGTCAAACTCGATCCCTCTTGCTCCCACCCACAAAGGGAGACACCTGGAGGGTCACAACGGGACAGAAAACAAAAGCAGCATTGTACTTAGCACGAGACAGCATCAGAATCAGGATCAGCTTTATTGGTCAAGTATGAGTGCAAATACGAGAATTTGACAGCAGTATCATGGTCTACCTGGACATCACAAGTTCTGCTGTGGCCCAGCCCATAGCAGCCACCATGATCTTGTACTCTCCTTTGCCAGCGTTACGAGACATCACCAGATGGAGGCCCAGCAGGTCTGCCAAGTCCACTGTTGCCTTCATGAATTCCTGGCAAACAAGAAAATATATTCCCGGTGTTATTTTAGACATTTGACAAATTTAACACAGTGAGGAGAAACATAAATCCTTCCTCAGATGAAGACAAAACACTCACCCCTACAAAATCATAAACACCTGCTCCTCCCTCCCATGTGGGGAAAAATGTGGCGAGGAACAACATCTGAAACACAGAAAACAAAAAACCTGTTAACTTTGCCTGCAGGTGTCCAGAGATGAAAACTTGGTCAAATTTTACCATCAGCAGACTGCTCTCTCACCTTGCAGAGTTGGACAAACAGGTATGTTGCTCCAGCCTGGACACATCTCCAAAAAGCATTATACTCAGAGCTAAAAGTAAAAACAGAAACATTTTAATGCCAGGATTTAAGCAAAAGAAGAAGGCACAGGACTCAACATATGTCAAGTTATCAAAAACAAAACAGCATATGGTCTTTTAAAGTCATTTGTGGTTAACAGTAATTGAAATAAACATTATCTTGTTAGGTACAAATTCAAGAGCACACTTCACAGTTCTAAGAAGATTATGCAGACCCCCTCCCAAACCTCTGCCATTACTAATCAGATTATCAACAGACTTCTTAATCTCTCAACATATGTTACTAAAGCAGCAGAGGAATACAAGAGAAACCACGTCTGAATAAGTAATGATGAAAACTTTGATATAAGAGTGGATTAACAGTGTCTTAAACTTAAACTAGGCTCCGCTGACTCAAAGGGATATTCCAGCGTAAAATTGATTTAGGGTCAAACACATTGTAACACCGAGTTAGACACCCCCTCGAGAAATGGATATTGCCAACTGCTTGCTTCCCTAGTTATACCAACTTTAGTAACGACCGCACAATAGCAATACACAGCGGTCTGAGGAGCCATAAACAAACCTCAACCAAAAAGCCGCTCTATAGCCACAAATAATGCTCAGAACAACACCTAACTTCATCTACAGTACATATAGGGTCCCAGCCATAGTACTAGCTACCAAACATCTTTTTTAGCTTTGACTAATTTCTTTAGCAAAGAGACTAAACACAACTCACCCACTCTCTTCCAGCAGCCGCTTGTTTGTAGCGAGACCTCAGGCCAGTCCATTATAGACTGCAGTGGGGTGACGCAGCTCAAGGAAGAACATTTATGATCATTACTTTATCATTTCCTTGAAGTAATAATCATCATATTAATCATTTTGCACTGCAGACGTGGTAGTTCTTCTGCTTTAGCGTCTCGGTCTGATTGCATTTCCATAAAGAAATTACCATTAATGTTCTTCCTTGAGCTGCGTCACCCCACTGTAGTCCATATTGGACTTGACCAAGGTCTCGCTACAAACAAGCAGCTGCTGGAAGAGAGTTGGTGAGTTGTATTTAGTCTCTTTGCTAAAGAAGTTAGTCAAAACTAAAAATAATTTTGACGGCTAGTGCTATGGTTTGGACCCTATATGTACTGTTGATGAAGTTAGGAGCTGTTCTGAGCATTATTTGTGGCTATAGAGTGGCGTTTTGTGTGGCTCCTCAGACCACTGTGTATTACTATTGTGCGGTCATTACTAAAGCTGGTATAGCTGGAGAAGCAAACGGTCGGTGTCTCTCTCGGTGTGACGGTGTGTTTGACCCTAAATTAATGTTATGCCGGAATACCCCTTTAAACTAGGCTCCACTGACTTAAGATGGGCTGATGGTTGGGAAACAGTGTAAACTTAGACAACATCAACAGGCAATGAAACAGATCACTGATCAAGACAGACACTTACAGGCCGCTGCACTTGTATGTTATAAAGTAAGGGAAATAGGCCAGGGCAAAGCAGTTCCCAAAGTGAAACAGCGTCATGATGTCTGGTCTCGGCTCCCTGCAGACAAACAGAAACAGGAGGTAGATGGTAAATGGACCGTACATATACACTTTTCTCATCCTCTAACCTCGAGGATCTCAGGAATGACAGTCCCCTGGCTTTCAGTAATGAATTCATAACACGAACAAAACAGAGAAGAGCAGCTACACCTTAAAATATTAAAAGGTCAGATTAAAGTTTGCTTATTTGTCCCAGTACTTCAATACAAACCATGAAATAAACGCACTGCAGTCGCTTGAATTCACCTTTAATACATTAATACAAACAAGCTAACAGACATATTTCATCACTGTTGGGTCCTGGGAGATTCCTTGTGTAAGTCGTTCACAAAATCATGTGCCAAAGTCACTTTATAATGTGTCTCATAACCTTAATAATCGGTAATCACGGCTAGCTGAACTAGCATCGACCTGTCAGGTGTTCACGCGCCCCTCCATATCAGTCAAAAAGGGTCTTTAACATATTTCAGCCCCGACAATTTCACCATGACAGACATTTTAATAAATCACTATTTCATCAGCATGACAGCAGGCGTAGATTAGATCCTCTCTGTGTATCACTTACCGTTTAAAAAAGACAGACGGCCGTGCTCCCGTTGAATGACGACCGGAAGTAGCCTTGGCTCGTCCCTGAAATGCGTCCGACGAAATCTTCGGTGGGAACTTAAAGCATTTTGATCAATTGCACTGTTTTTGAGGGGAGAAAAACGAGTCATAATGGATGTTATCTAAGCGATATAAGATATTGCAGCAATTGCTCGGTGTATCTGTTTTTAATTCTAAGTGAATTACTTTGGAAATACGTTGTGAGCAGAATGCCAGAGGGCGTCTTTCCCGTAGACTGTATAAACTATGGACAACTTGGTTCCGCTTCCCTCCTGTATACGGATTTGAAGCCAAAAAACTCTCGGTATTTCTTTTTTTATTTTTTTTTTATTTTTGGTATTTGGTATTCGGTATGAGGCTGATGTAAAAGGGCCAAAAACTACAGCTCCTTCAGTGGTCACTAGAGGCTGGCTGCAAAAGCACAACCTGAATGTATAACTGTTCAAAACAGCTAGAAAAAAATGGTCTTGGCCTGAATAGGTTATTTTTTCATCTACAAACACAATTCAGGTTTTTTTTTTTTTAAATAACTTGTCAGTACTAAGAAATAAAGGTTTGGGCTTTTGCATTATTAGGGGCATGGCTGAATTGATGATGGGCTGACTCAGGTCAGCAAACACTGGTTTACTTTCACATATTATGTCACTGAATACTACAGACTGCACCTTTAACATCTGATGATCATAACTCAAATCACAAAACAAACACAGATATAGGTGTAACTCATTCTATCCCAGAGCAAAGGAACATGGCATGTTGGTCTGATCTATCACAGTGACCAGCACATCGTTTTTTAGACTGTTGTCATTGTCTGATGTCATTGTTTGTTTACAACCACTAAAACACTCAATTTATGCATTTTATCATTCAGCATTTACAGGAGAGGTTTTGTGTGCTCACAATTTCAAGTCAAAAATTGAATTACTGTATTAAACCATTTAAAGAGCTTATAACTCAGGTTAAGTGATAGCAGTTTTTAAATGTTATTTTTAATAAAACATGCTTGAGGTTGTTTGATATAGGTGTGTCATTTTTTTCCCTAGAGGTGAACTTTTAAGACATCAAAACTCAATACAAAGTCTAAAACCTGGTTACCTGGTTGGGGTCAATATTAGTAATCAATGTCTGCATTGCATTTCTGACTAAATTCTGAACAGATTTCTAAAATATCTGTAAATGTTCAACAAAACATAGAACCATAGATGTTCTACATTCAGAATTCAGGGACCAAGTGTTGCCTCAAAGCTCTTAGTGGATCTAGCTGATTGGAGTTATGAGTTTCATTTAAAGAAGGATAAATAATATAGAGAAATCATTTTTAAATTATGCCTAATTCAATCAACTGTACGACACGCAGCACAGATAACAAGAGTACATTAATTCGTCAAACACCACAGAAGACAATTAGTTCCACAAAACACCTCTATTGATCAAGGTAAATATATTGTGAGTTTCAGTCTACCTGGTAGTGTTCAATGATGCTTTTTTATCTAAAATATGCAAATAACTGGCCTCTATTTCCCAATATTATTGTAATGACCAAACGTATAAACTATCTCCAAGCAGAGAGCTCAGGCTATTTACCTGGAGAGTGTCAAGAATATTAATCATCATCATCATCATCATCATCATCATCATCATCATCATCATCATCATCATCATCATCATCATCATCATCATCATTGTCGTCATTAATCATCATCATCATCATCATCATCATCATTATCATTATCGTCATCATCATCGTTGTCGTCATCATTGTTATCGTCATCATTGTTATCGTCATCATTGTTATCGTCATCATTGTTGTCGTCATCATTGTTGTCGTCATCATTGTTGTCGTCATCATTGTTGTCGTCATCATCATCATCGTTGTCGTCATCATTGTTGTCGTCATCATTGTTGTCATCATCATTGTTGTCGTCATCATCATCGTTGTCATCATTGTCATCATCATCATTGTCGTCGTCATCATCCTGATTTCGTCTGTTCCGCTCCCTGTTTATACTTTTAATGCAGATGAAGTTTCTTTTTTCCGAGCAGTCCCTGGTGATCCAGTTATCTGTGTCATTTCTGGAGAAAATCCCACAGTGTTTCCACTGGGATGGGCACTGTGGCAGCGCACCCTCATCGCTCAGCTCCTGTCCATCTGCCCAAAACCAGTGTCCTTCGAGGAAGCGCAGGCCTGTCCAAACCTGAGGCACACAGAGTAATATGTCGTTGTTTTATCATTTTTGTGCTTTGGCTTTAATAACATTACAACTGCTGCTACACTTTGAATCTTAGAGACACTCACAATATCCTTGTGGTAATTTGACTGATGAGTATTCAGATGATAGGCCTATATTTAAAATATCGAAGTAAAAATGTAAAACACAAGCATAATTTTCTCATTTATCTGTAAACAAATCATTAATAATAGAGTTTTTAATCAAACTGAATGAGGCATTTTAAGTTTACGCCTTATTCAAATATGTAACTTCCTGTCTCACATCATCTCCCTGATTGTCACAAGAGGCTGGAAGTTTCATCTGAGCTGCGCAGCAGTATATATTACATTACTTATAGGGTCACAAGTGAAAACTATTGAGCAATTTTGTCATTTCAGAACACTAAAGAGAGAAATTCAAGCTAATAACTCAAACCTCCTCAATGTCTGAATGTTTCATCCTTTTTCTGACATAGTCGTGGTCAGACTGCTGCAAGGTCAGGAGAGTGAAACCAAGCTTGCACAACCTGTTGCTGTGCTCATCACATTCAGTTTCCAAGTCCTTGCAATGCTGCAGCGCATCCTCCCAAGTCTTGTTCTTCTTCACCAGCACCAGGTTGTCACCAAGGCAGACGAAGCGATGCTGCTGAGAGCACTCTCTGCTGCGCACTGTTTTTGAATTTGTGTCAAAAAATTCACAGACTTGCTCATCTGGATTTCTCTGTGCCGGAGATGTGTTGGATTCAATGTCCTCTCCATCTTGCCTGATAGAACAAAACATGAACACGCAAAGCAAATGAGTTTTACCTCTTTCTTATTTTATATGATATCAGCACTGAGATACTTTTCAGATCCAGTTTTTACCGAGGAGTAACTCTCCTCCAGAATTGGTAATCCCAGGTGTCTTCATGGTCATCAATCCAGACTTCCTCGGTATCGTAACTTGCCACCCATTCGGCATTGGCTCTCACCCTGTCCTCAGAGGCCAGGTCAATGTGATGTGTCTGGCAGAACAGTTTTGCCTTGCTCCACGGCCTCGCAATTGTTCTGAGAACTACCACCATCTTTATATCAGATGTCTCCAAGCACAAAGCAGCCGTGAGCAAAAAGCAGAGTGTGAGCAGAAAGCTGTCTCTGCCCCTCATGGCTGCACCTGTCTTTAAAACAAGTCTCAAGAGAGTGTTGAATGACTGTTCTGTGATATGAGGCTGAGGAGCAGTCACTCTTCTTTTATAGCAGCAGCAGCAGCAGCAGCAGCAGCTACCTTTCTCTCGCTCTCTCTCTTTCTCTCTCTCTGTTTCTCTCTCTCCCACATGGACACACCTTACATGATCCAGCTGACCACCTCTCGTCCTAAGTCCGGCCTCTTAATCTAAATGGAAGATTTTTTTTTATTATTGATAACATGATGCTCATTTGATCATTTTACCTTTTTAAACAGTCACACTTCTCTTGGTCTTTTATATTTGAAGACTCTTACAGTGTTATGTGTTAAAATGTCATTTTCCAGTATAGACCAGGCTTTCTCTAGGAAGATCTGACCTCTGAAAGCTCTGAAAATGTGTGTAACATTCGGCGTCAACATGTATCTGCTGTGACCAAAATCAAGTTTCAGAGAAGAAAACATTTAACATAGTCAGACGTGTGAAAATGAGATTGTCCTAAAGTCAATTTTTAAAGGTTTTACATCATTAAACAGAGTCTTAGGTGTACATTCTGCTGATGACCTATTTTAGCTGCTTTTATGTGAAAACCATTGTGATATATTTAGTGTTGGATTAAAACTCTTTGCTGTAACTCAGGTCAAGTGTGGTCAGAAAAGCATAAAGTCACTCACATCTTTCTAACTAAGCACATTCAAATCAGGTGATTTGCTTGCAGCCTAATTTCCCCAGTAAGCACAGGAACATTTTGAATGTAGGAAATTTGACCCACCAACAGAGAAGCGGAGCCCTTCCCTTCACTGCACATGACTTGATTTGTGTCTTCTTTATTTTTCATTTTTGAGCTCATTTGCTATAATGCAAACAGCACACTACCAAAAGAACTGCTCCACCTTTCAGAGCTTCTGTCAAAGTTGGAGTTTTTCATATGGGACACAACATCAAATATTTATCTGATGTCATTCAGTTTACCTGAAACAATGACATTTAGAGTTTTACCAAAGGCACGTGAAGAAAAACTTGAGGTCAGGAGGCTGTAGGCACCACTGAGCAAACCCTCCCACCTTTGAGTGTGCTGCTTTGTGGTGCAACCGAAGGGTGTGTTGCTGTGTTTACTGGACAGAGAGCTGTGAGAGTGACCTCTAACTATCGTGTGTTTTGGACACAAGAAGACTCTTAAGTGTTGACAACACAGGCTAAATTTGACGTCGAGTAAATGAGGAAGGTTACAGAAAGCTCACTGTTTCTTACCAGCCTTTGTAGCAATAACAGAATCTGATCATGTTTTTGAAATTCCTTGAAGTTACTCCTGCCCACCCACCCACCATCTAACTTAAACATAAAGCTTTAATATATGTATCTGTTTGCAGTTTATTTCCTTATTTTCTAACTCCTCCTGTGCCTGTTTGTGTGTGTGTTATTATCTACTCTGGTTAGTTTACTATAACACAACAAATCTGTATTCTGAAATTCAACCCTGAATGCATGCCAAATAAGCTTTTCCTCAACTTTAACACGTAAACCTATAGAGTAAGAGAATTTCACACTTTTTTTCATGAACGTTAGATGTGTATGTGCCCTGACAAAAAAAAAAAAAAAAGCCCCAACTTTGTCAGAAAGGTGGATTAGTCTGCTTGGCTTACAGCTACATTTGATGACATTGCTCTATTTGCATAAGCACAAATGAGTCTTAAAAAACATACTTTCCTGACTACTCTTGACCATGTTTAAACCTGTTTAATGTTGGTCATCGATCACTGCACGATAATCTGTCACTATGTTTTTTATCTAAAAGCCTTGCTGAAGGATGTAGATAAAACTTTTGCACTAAAACCACCAGTACGTAAAATTTGAGCTCCATTTTTAAAGTCTTCAGATACACAACTTTAAATACTTTACTTGTAACAGACTCATCTGGCTGTAGCAAATGCTTCCTCCTCTTACTGTGAACTAGATTTCTGTTACAATACGTCTTTATTTCAACTTAAATGTTAAAGGTGCTCCTAATGCAGTATGTTCAAAGAAGCAGGAGATAACACAGCAGCATGAGTCTCACGAACACTTAAAGAATGTTATTTGTTAGATCCTCTCTAGAGGGAGTCATGGGCCAAGATTAAATATACAGGGGGCGTTTCATGTCTTGCTGCAGTACCCAAGTAGAGGCAGCAGAGGGCTCTGTCTCTGTATCGCCAGTGTCTGCCAGCTTAAATAATGTAGTGCAAGACTATCTATCTATCTATCTATCTATCTATCTATCTATCTATCTATCTATCTATCTATCTATCTATCTATCTATCTATCTATCTATCTATCTTTTTCATTTCATGTAGATTTATTTGCAGGAAAGGCATTTGCAGGAAAAAGTAATGTAACATTAAGTTTAAAAAGCCAGTTCAATATTGTAAATATAAGTTGAGCTAGTAAGACACAAAAGGACACCATGGGGGTTTTGAAGTTTTATTTCTTTATCTCTTTACTCTTACGCAAAGTTACAGTAGCTCAGCCTCTCAGCTGCCTCCTTCCACCTTGATTAAGCCTTTAAAACACACCAACAGGGAGATGGATACAGTAGTTACCATGGTAATGAGCCATCATGACACATCTAAGGTGGCAGTGGGAGGTGGAGAGGGGGCACACAGACACAAATACTGTCATTGACTGATCATCTTGTCTTTAAAGGAAAACAAACAGAGTAACTCAGAACACTCAAACACACTGCTGCTGCCGCCTACATATAGTGTAATAGAGCTAAGGACTGTGATGCTATGACTCGGCTATGAGGGGCCTGCGTGTAAAAGAGAGGGGAAGGGAGAGGGGATGGTTGGGGGTGGTCCCTTTCTTGACTCCCTTTTTGGATAGGAAGTGTCTACTCATGGCTGTACATGTAAAGCAGCAGGTCGGCGACACGGTTGCTGTAGCCGTACTCATTATCATACCTGGAGAGAGACAGAATAGAAGGAGGAAATTAATCATCATTTCTTTCATTTTCTGCTTAAGACGAATGAGAATTTTGATAAATTGATCAAGAAACTCAAAACTAACCAGGAAATGAGCTTGACAAAGTTGTCATTGAGGGAGATGCCAGCACCAGCATCAAAGATGGAGGAGTGGGTGTCACCGATGAAGTCAGAGGACACCACCTGCACAAGACAAGACAAGACACAAGTCAGTCCCTTCAAACAATAAGGATATTAATAATCTCTCATATCTTTACACACCACCAAATCCTACCTGGGACACACATTCATGAAGGCTGAAGTCATGAGGACTGATGCTTTTTTGATCAATAATCATGTAAATATTTGTCCCTATCTCCATTTTTATATTAGTTTTGGCTACCTTGAGGGCAGGGTTGGGTGATAAATCGAAAATTTGCCGATACCGAAATTTACGACAATATATCATTTGGCCCATATCAGTATGTTCTGTGTCAAAAAAATAAATATAAATTGGTTTTGGATGTGTGTAGGCAGGCTATGGTCTCATGTCCCTTTAAGACGCTGTCCTGACTCCACTCCATCCAGTCCATCACAAAGATGGAAAGACAGGGGAGAAGATGGAGGATAAATCTAAAGTTGTAGCGGCTGAAGTAGACCAAGTTTATGTGGGAGAGGGTGAGCAGCTTGTGGAGAAGTTACCATCCATTTATCGTTATCGAGGTAAACTGCTCAATATATCATGATATCCATTTGGGGCACATCGCCCAGCCCTACTTGAGGGTCCAGTGAATTGTTCCTGTGGGAACCTGTTTAAATTTAGACTTAGAGCTTGTAGACAAACTGTGGTGACATCAGGCTCAGCTGAGGCCATTCACCATAAACTCCCAAAAGCAAGTTTAATTTTAGTCATGATGATTTAGAACTGATTATGACCACCTTAAGAAGCCTGCCACTGCTCACTCACAGCTTTGGTTCTCAAATTTTAAAAGATATTTATTTAAAGGTATTTGAGAAAAAAGCTGATGCGGTACCTGGTCCTCGGTGTAGCCCAAGATTCCCTTCATTGGCCCGTGTGCGGCCTTCTTGCAGGCCTCCTTGATTTCAGCGTAGGACGCAGGCTTGGACAGACGGCAAGTAAGGTCCACCACTGACACGTCGGCAACAGGCACCCTGAACGCCATCCCAGTCAGCTTCCTACAGAGAGGGGACAGACAAAAGAGAGGTGTTAGAGACGTGGGTTGCCTTTTCTTTTATTTAAATTTTCTCAATTTCGTCACCATGATCAGAACAAGTCTGTAAAATAACCAGGATGATAGTGGATGCACTGGTCCTCACCCATTGAGATCAGGGATGACTTTCCCCACAGCCTTGGCAGCACCAGTGGAGGCAGGGATGATGTTGGCATGAGCACCACGGCCGTCACGCCAGGCCTTGGCACTGGGACCATCCACTGTCTTCTGGGTGGCTGTATAGGCGTGGACTGTAGTCTACAGAGGCCGGAGTGATAGATATAGATAAAAAGATTCAAACATTAATAAATAATCCTGTTACTCAGATAAATAGCGTCAATAACACGGAGCACAGACTGACTTAGACTTACCATGAGAGCCTCCTCAATGCCAAAGTTATCATGGATGACTTTGGCCAGGGGGGCCAGGCAGTTGGTGGTACAAGAGGCATTGCTAACAAAAGAAATGGAACAACCATCAATTTCAACTGACTCCATGTTCATAAATGACAGAAGTGTGTGACAGTACAGCTACATTCATATTGAGGAACATGATTGTAAAAATGAATTGTAACTGCATGTCAGGGACTCTGTTTGTTACCTGACAATTTTCATGGAGGGCCTGTATTTGTCCTCATTCACTCCCATGACAAACATCGGGGCATCGGGTGAGGGGGCGGACACAACCACACGCTCAGCTCCTCCCTGGAGGTGAAGCTGTAAGAGAAATAAAGCCGTTAGGAGGACAGATTAGAAACTGGACTGTCTGGTGGTTTGTTTGTATTGTTCTGCATGTGTCGGTGTGTGTTTGTGTTTACATACAGAGGCCTTCTCCACACTGAGGAAGACTCCAGTGGACTCAACGACGTATTTGGCTCCGGCATCACCCCAGGGGATTTCTGCTGGCTTCATACTAGAGTCAGAGAAAGACCGTTGTCAGATGAGGAGAACAAACACGGCAGTTCAAAGACCAGTGAGACCAAAATATCACAGAGGCAGCAGAGACAGTGACCGAAGGGACACTTTTCCAAACATAAAAGTGTGTGTGTGGTGCCTATTTGGCTAGTAACATGCTAGTGATGGACTAAAGTAAAATTATTAGTTTTCACAAAAAGATTAAAAGCTGAAGAGTCTTTCCAAATATAGTTAATAGATAAAAAAAGATGCAGATGCACTCCAAACCCTTGTTTAAAAACTAGGACGTCACTTCTACAACCCTCCCTCTTGCTCCTGTTACTTTTAGCACAGGGGGAGGGACAGGAGTGGGCTGAGCAGAAGGAGAGGCAGCAGAATGAGTGGAGCAAAACAAGGGGGAAAGCTCATTTCATCTTTTCATCATTTTAGTGGAGACAACGGATGGAAGGTAAAACTGAGCAATACAGCCTCCATGAAACTCCGATGGCCCCCTGCCACGAGGATACTAGTTTTAATGCACTAAGAATTTCCTTGAATGACTTCTTACTAAATTTAGGTCAGGTCGAGTGGTAGTTTGTTTACTCTGGGACACACAACCCTAAAATCAGTCATGGAAAAACAGAGGAATGTAATTTGGTTAGGTTTGTTTGACATTACCCTCTCTGCTCGTTCTGCTCTATTGTTGTTGTTCATCTTTGAATTTATCATTTGCTTGTGTTGGCTGACATAACATTGTTGCTGAGTTGGCTACTTTTTAGGAGACACAGGGACATTGGTTGATATTCAGGGATTCTTATGATCTTTGGTTGAAGCTAAGTGAACTGAACTGGGCACTGCAGATACATGATACAAGATTTGAGGCCAATTCTGAATCAGTATAATACAGATATTGATATTTGTTGTACTCAAATCCAAGCAGAGCCTTAGACTGATTTTAAGACAGAGCTCTGATATATAAATAACTGACAGACTCTAACCACTTCCATCGTCATCACCATCATCACTTACCACTGGAAGACAGAGATTGCAGATCCGTCAACTATGAGCTTGTCGCCGTCCTTGTGGACTTCACCATTGTAGCGGCCATGGGTGGAGTCATACTTGAACATGTAGACCTGGGGCATGAGAAGTAGGATTTTATCAGTCATGAAGCTTCTAGTTAATTCTGTGATTATCACAGTCATCATATTTGTCTCTGAAATCTCACTGGCCCACCCTTGCCAAAGCAAAGTCCTGAATCACAACTGGTTGCTTGCCTGGTTGGAGGTGGGACTCATGCAAATAATGCTCATGCTCATTTTCTCTTGTTTGTGCTAATAAGTAATATAATGTTATTGAGTCCTAAAATAATGAAGCATAGGAGGGAAACACTGTATGTTTCTGTTGTGTGGTATTACTATACTATACAACATTTGTGAGATGTTTGTTTGTCTGGGTGTTTAAACAAGATGTAATTGATGGAGAAAGAAACCATTTGATGCTTTTGCTTTTGGGCAGGTGCATCGCACACACACTCAAGTGTGTGGCCAGCTTTGTGGAGAGAGTCATGCTCACAACAGGTCATCTACTGAGGCGAAATATGCAAACCATTCAAAAATACAACGATGTACTTCAATTTTCTTACCATGTATTCCAGGTCAATGAAGGGATCATTGATGGCCACAACTTTGATGCCTCTCTTGAGGCAAGCTCTCAACACAAGGCGGCCAATACGACCGAAGCTGCAGAGGTGGACACAGAGGGAGGGGGAGACAGACAAAGACAGAGAAGGAGAAAGAGATTTGTAATGGTTGTTATGGCATAAGACATTATCATGCCAAGCTTCTATTTGTGCTGTTCTGAAACACTGTATGGGATGGGTTCAATCTCTCATATGTGCATTAAAATATGAAATGCATGTGGGTTCAAAGAAAAATGAAACAAGGAGTGTGTGAGCATCAGTACAACAGCAGGGATGACAATGGCAGAAAGTTTTAGGACAAGTAGACAGAACCGAGCCGCTATAATCCACCTGGTCTGTTCTACTTACTGCACTTCAATGTGCTACTGAGACCAAGAATGAACTTAATATTAACCTCAAGTGTTGCCATGCTTTTTGCCTACATCCCATAATTCTGGTGGTCATGTGATCTGTGCTCTATGGTGTGCCCTCTCAATATACCCTTCAGTAATACGGCACAGTCTAGTATGAGTACGATTTGATTCATGATGCGGCTGGTTCTGAATCTGCAGTCAAGGTTAAACAGCAGCGTGTATGTCTGATTCAAAAACACAATGTTCACATGATGTGTTTGAACTCACCCATTGATTCCAACACAGAGGTCTGACATGTTTGCTGCTGCTTGAGGGGGACTGAGTTAACTGCAGGAGAAAAAAGAGAAACCAATGAAATGAGAAAAACTACAGATACTTAATGACAAAGACATTATAATACATGGTCAATCCTTTTGCGTGTAAATACACTGACACAGAATTTGCGCTGAATGATGCCAGGTGGCTCTTTGCATTGAATTAAACTGTCGCAAGTCTCAAAGTGCATTGTTAACTTCAAACCAGATTTCTAACTTACTTCTTTCCCTGCGCCTTAATGTCACACAAATCCAACAATAAATATTGAGAGAGCTGTTGATACCAAAACTGAAAACATGACACATCTAACTTCTAGTGTACAAGTATGTATCTGAGAGAGCTCTGAGGAGCACGCTAAAAAAAACAATTGCAGCTACACAGTAATTCTTATGTAACATGTAATTTTCATGTTGGAACACTATCCAGAGTGGTTTAGTATGGCTTGTTGATAGGTATGATTCTCTTTGATGCCATTATGAGAAAAATACAGGCTGTGAAATTCATGTTTGGTATGTATCTACAGCAAAGGCAGGGAGGTGTTACATCATGCAGGGGCATGTTTATAATACAATGGCATAAGAAGGGAGGGAGAGGGATAGGTATGTACAAAGACAAACAGAGACTTGTCTGCATGAATAGAGAGGAAGCCTGGCTCTGACTCAACTATGTGACCTCCTTTTCCCTGCTTCCCTCTCCTTTTCACACTGAACCTGCATCTTCCTGCCTCCTCTTTTCTCCACACCTCCTCTATCCCCTCCCCCACCTACAACTCTGTGAGTGCGTGTGAGTAAGACGAGTGCAGGTAGAGTAAGTGAGGGCAACACTGATTGTCCTTGAGACTGGTTGGTTGTCATATGAGACTACTGTAATCTCCTTAACTGTTTTGTGAGTATGTATGTGTCTCATAGTGCGAGTGTAAATGGGTGTGTCTCAGTAGGGCGGATATAAGGCAGGGTGCTAACCTGTAGAAATGCATTGTGGGAGCACTTAGATAATCAAAAAGGGATACAAGATTAGGACAATCATTTCTGCCATTCTCTCTGTCACTGACACTTACACACGTGAACAATGTTGGATATCTCTGAGTATTTTAACCTGAAGTTTATCCTGTTTCAGTGTAATTGAAGCACAAGTGAAGCTCTGTTTAGCTTCAACTGGGCTTGATGGAAGTCAGAATCAATTCATTGAACAGCCTGCTGCAGATTTAACAGCCAGTCTCCAATACATCTGTCTGTGTTCCCATTTCTAGCTTCTTTTAGCGTAGAGCATCTATTTTGTGTCCTCCTCTTGGTGGCATGTTTAACACAAGGTCATCAGAGGAGAGAGGGAGGGGTAGAGGGAAATGTGACAGTGTAGAGGTACACAGTGTGACTATGCTGTTCTCATATTACTATGTCCTCTCCTTCACTTTGTTCCCATAATGATCTACTGTGAGTTTACAAAACTCTACACTCACCTTCCCTTTTCTCTCTTTTGAAATCCTCTTCCTCCTTTCCTCTTTTTCACAGTTAGTCTCACTCACTGGCTTTTGCTTTCCACATTCACCGTTTCCTCTAAAATGAGTCGCTGCCCTGGGTTTTCGCACATAAAATGGCTGCTCTGCTGACAAATGATCCTACTTAGTAAACAGAGTGGGTCATGCTGGTTCTCTGAGGAAGAATGGAGATGGCTGGGACCACGACTTTGGTTAACAGTGGAACTAATCCCAGCGACAAATACTGCATTAAATACAGTTATTAATGTTCATGTTCCTGTTGGTGAACTATTCCTACGATTGTAAACTAATTACAAAGACAGAGTCGAGTTTTGTTTTTATGAGAAAAAGTACATCAATATAGTTTACATTTGTACTCCTCTATGTAGGGGTGGGAATAACTAGTGGCCCCACAGTACGATATTATCACGATACTAGGGCGCCAATACGATATTATCACGATACTTGGGCCACAATACGATATTGTTGTGATTTTTAACGTTTTGCAATACAGTGAGTATTGTGATACAATATATTCCGATTTATACAATTTTTTCAACTGTTTGGCTAATTTAGCATTTGTCTTTCCTTTATGTTTGTCTTATTTACACAGTATTTTATTTTCATGTAGCACATCTTACAGACCATATATATATATATTTGTTGTACTAACTTTCTCCTGCTCTACAATGTCACCTCTGTCAACCTCACTGGACAAACAGTTGATTTTATTTTTCCATTATCATAGATTTGACTTTATATTAGCCATTAATTTGAAAAATCGATACTTGGTCAATGAGACGATACAATACATCACCAGACCAAATATTGCGATACTATGCTGTATTGATTTTTTTCTCCCACCTCTACCTCTATGACAGTAAACTACTGACTGGTATCTTGGGTTGCAGACAAAACAAGATACTGAAGGAGGTCATTTTTGTGTTACTTTCACAGCTTCAACATTTGTTTTGAATAAATATTTAGATTGTGAGCAAATGAAAATAAGAAAGCCTCTTAATGCAAATTGAAAATAAAAGAGGTTAAGTTACTTAAATGTGAAGGACTCCCCTGACTTTGCAAACACAGTTCTGCCTCCTTCCACAGTAAACCAGCCAGCTCTTGATCTGTTGCTCTGGTAACACTTAGTAACACACACACACACTCTCACACACACACTCTCACATGTTTCTGTTCACAGAGGCTGTATTGTGCAGAGTGAAGGGGAGAAGGTTGTTCGACTGCAGTTTTCAATCTGCTGGCTCTCATTTAATAGTGAAATGAGGGTGCAGGCAGACGCTGGTCAGACATATGGAGTTAAGCGACAAAGTTCTAGCCCTTGATTTAGGTTGTTATTTAAGTTATCGATAGGGAAAAAACCATTTTCTCGACAACTCCTCTGAACAGTATGTGATATAGATTAGTGAAATCAATAAGACAAAAGCTTTTAGAGTAGGTCACTAAACAAGGGCGGTGCAGCAATCTCCAATTCTGGTTGGTTGCCAAATGGAACATCCAACCAATCAGTGAGGCTTGGTTCAATCCGAATTTAATGAAGACATATATTTGATCCAACCGCTTACTAGTCTGCTCTTCCTAATTTTCATCCCGTCTCTCCATCCATTAGTCCATCCATCCTCAGACTTTTCTTTCATTGCCCCCTCACTTTTGGCCACCCCACCTCTTTCGCTTCTTTAATAAAAATAATTACAATTCAGCACCCTTTCTTCACTTCCCCGATTATCTGTCCTTGCTACTCTTTGTCTGTTCAGCCACCCCTCGTTCAGTACAACTGCAAAACCTCCCTCCCTCCCTCAGAGCTCCGACCCAATTTCATCATACAAACCCAGACACCAGGGGGGGGGCACAAACAGGCAGGGCTGCTGCATGTGTGTGCCCTAGAGGGACCACTCAGGGGATGATGAGTCAAAACCAGACAGCCAGAAAAGGACAAAGACAACAGGCTGCATCAGGTGGTGAAATCACAATCCTGAGACAAAATCTGTCTGAGCATTAGAAAAGCAAAGGAGGCAAGAGGCAGCCAGAGGGGAGGGGGAGCATGACAAAGCATTTCACCACCGCCAACACCTCCTTAAGCTGTCAAGCACCAACACTTCACCATAACAACAACGCTGCTTTGTCTCCTCTCTGTAATATGTCAGCAGACTCTTGGGAGAGCTTTTGGACAGTGTCTGGATTTTATCCACCCTCAGCGACCCCTTATATGGACCTAGATATTGAGGACGTTAATCCTCTGAGACCCACTGTACATCCTGTCACAGGGTAATGTGAGTGATCTTTGTGTGGCTGTGTTAAGGAGTAAAACTAGAAATGAACAATAACCTTTGTCAAAGCATTGACAATTAAGTTTGACTATAGCTGGAGTTCCCAGTCTTCAGGGTTGCTCTGGGTTTTGTAGTCAATACAATTGGCTCTGTGAGTGCATGGACTCACTGACTCTCTCTTGGCAGTTCCTGCACACTCTGCCTTCAGTCCCAGCCTCCCTCCTTCACCCACCCCTACCCATTAAACCCAGCCCCTAGCTTTCTGTCACGCCCTCCTGCTTTTAGTATTTTTCCACTGCAGTGCAATGATTGGCTTAAAGCCAGACATGCTGTCCAATTAGGTAATGTTTTCTCATCCGGCCCGCCTCTTGGGGAATCAAATCCATCAAATGTATAAGGGACAAAACAATACATGTCATGAACTGTCTGTGTTGTAAGCAGGATCTCTGCTTTGGCTCAACTTTTCCTCAACACTGCACTTGCTTCCTCTGCTTTGACAGGCTCATCATGAAGACAACATCACTTTGTTGCCCTTAGGTAGTCAGTAAAATGTCCCACACCATCACATCACTTGTCAGACACATGCACATACACGCACATCACCACAGACTGTGTGCCCAGCTCAGCAGGCAGGATCTTCTGCTGATTGGGACAAACCGTAGGAACGTCTACCATTTCTTGTTCATGGTAAATTAGCAAAGTACAAAGATGAATGAGTTTTTAATGGAGATGTTTTTTTCCCGTAGAAGAGAATTATTTTAAGGAGGGTGATTTTATAAATACAGTGACTTGCCAACACGAGTTCATGCACACAATTGAACACACACACACACATTACCGACATGAATTAATAAAAGGTTTGCTGTATCAAACTACAGGGGATTCAATAGGGGAGGGAGGCATGTGACTTCTCTGCAGAGGTAATGCTGGACCACACACATGCTTACAAGCAGCCCCACTGTTTGAACTTCTGTCAGCATTAGATGATTGATATCCTTCCTGAGGCTCAGCCTGTCATTCACCTCCTCTCCTCTCTGATGCTACCTTTACACTAGATGAGTTCTGTACTTTCTTTGCTAACCTGAAAATGTTTACTTTACACACACATGCATCTTTAAACAACTGTGTGACTACTGGCCTATCCTCTCCTAGCTGTGTCCTCCCCTAGTCTAGTGTTCGGTTCCTGAAACCTGCAACCGTTTCACAGAGTGCTGAGTCACTCCTGAGTTACTTCCTGTGCACATCCTGCACAAGATGGCTGCTTGGGAAGTCTGCTGCAAGGTGTCATCCACGGGGAACCAAACCTCAACCAGCCCCACCACTTCAAGAGGAAAACTTGAGTGAATCTAGAAAAACTATGAGTCATAACACACTTAAGATGAAGGAATGACTCAAAACGGAGTCTAACCATGTCTCATGTCGAAATCCCCTTTGGTATGGTTGACTGTTCATGAGCATTAGGAAGTGTTCCACTAATCTTTGTGTAAAAGTAGAACTCGTCTCAGAGAAGAAATGACTCGGGTCGTCCATGTCATTTTTAAATCTTTAACTAACCTGGCAGTAATTTGTTAAGCTGGGATGACATGTCCTATGTATTGCTAATGTGCTTTAGCTAATCTCATTGACTATTATCTTGCTCCTTAAACAGCAAAGGTGAATGTGATGCTTAAACAAGCTCTGACATTTACATTGAAGACATCTGATTGACACTCTGATCTGTGAAGAGAGTAAAATAAAAGTCAAAGTAATCATGATTGACCCGTCAAGTTAATACTGTCCTTCTTATGTAAGTAATCAAACTGTGCCCACAGAGATCTTGTTGCATTCACTGTCCATGTTTTATCTATTAGGTTGATGAATAATATAAATTGGCAAGAAAAGGAAACTTAAAAACAGTATTGTACATCTTGTGCTTTAAAATTATGTGGAAGTAACTGCAGTGGAATACCACAAAACTATCATTCATGGAAATACAGTGAGTCAGTCCTCATTTTTCTGTGAAATTACTGTAACACCAGGCATCCCATTTGCACTGAGCCTTTTATTACTGATTCTCCGACATCTGTACCCTGGCTTAAGAGGTACAACCTTCTGTCCATGAGCACAGTGTACAACCCCCTTTTTAAATTGATGACAGGTTTAAGAATAACAATCAATAGCATCACTACAGCAGCTATGGGCCTGCTATCACCTTCCTCAGCTGTAAGCATGACCTTCAAGAGGGAGGCAAGGTCAGACATGGCTGCACCCAAGTGCACCACACCTACATGAAATGAATGAAAGTAACTGAAAGATTAGAGTATATGTACAAATATACAAAGTTAAACAAGGCAAGAAACTGAATACTGATATCAACTCAATGTACTTTCAGACTGGTGCAATAATTACTTTGTCACTGCTGCCAAATGTGTTATAAATGTTTCTAACTATCACAGCACTCTGATCAGACTTCACTTCTGCTGTGACTCACTACATTACTACCTCATGACTCCTCACGGTGGCGCTAATAACATTTATCCCACACTTTACCTATAAGGAACATTTTGTATTCTTCAGTCCACCACATGCATACAGCTGCCTTTTAACTAATTAACAACCACACAGCCCCCATACTAACTGTATTAGTTTGTAAGGTATATATTAGGTTTTCTGAGTGACCCTGCTTTTGGAAACCTTCACTATATTGCAACCATATCTACTAAATTATGCCAAATGCAAAGAAATGATAACTCTACAGCCTTTCCAACATTTACTCTTTTTTTTAAGTCAAACCTTTGTCAGAAAATATCCAGTATATGGTGCATGCATCATTTAATTGATGGTGAACTTAAACAGTGTCGTGTTGTCACTTTAAGCGAGCACCAGGCCCCTTTTGCAAACCGCATCAACAGGTCTGTCGAGTCTGAAGTCAAACTGCGGCAGGATCATGCGACACTACACCATGTCTGTGTCCTTCAATGCATCACGGGAACACTTTCAGCTTGACTTTTCCACCTAACGACATACGTGTATGAATCAACCGTTTCGGTTTTTTCATCACCACATCCTCTGCTTCCCGTCACCACGAAGCAACCAATCATCTCTGTAATCCGATGGCGCAACGATTCGAGACTTCATCATGAAGACCAGGGGCGGCACGTAGCTTCACCTCCGTTGCGTTCACGTACACTCCTAGTCCCCATAAAATAACGTCTTCATTACGATTCAGCGTACTGTGTGCATCATTAATACGACAGTTGAATCTTATTATATCTTACCTTTAACCGTGGGGGATGTTACTGAGTGTTCTGCCCAGAATGAAACTGTAAAATGTATTTTTCTACCCGGTTACATAACATGGAGACTAATCCACTTCCGCAAAGATGCAGCAGTGGGAGCTGCCAATGTCACGTTACCCTCGCAATGAATGAACTGTACATTATGAATGAACTTTAATTGTTTTGTGCAGATTTTTTTACGCAAAGATACAATTTTATCCCTTTATTTCTCGTTGTTGTTTTTGGTTTCGATGGATTTTGCCTCTGGCCATGTAATTTAACGGTAGTCTATCTCTCTTACACAACGGCCAGCCTCCCTCTCTCCGGAACGCAAGGCCATGGCCGCATCCCCTCCCATCCTCGTCTGTCTCTTCCTGTGCCAGTGCAGCGTGCATGCACTGAATAAGGCTTCATTAACTTCTTAAATGTGCTTTAAACTGAGTTACTCCGTCAAACATCACCTTTATCTCAAGCTCGGACATTAAATGGAGACGTAGCTTTTTATATTGGGGCTCATTTGCGAGTTTTTTTCGTACGAGCTCATGTAGCAGGATGGATGATAACTGACTTTCTCAGTTTGTTAACGGTTTACAGTGACATTTGTTAGGCAAATTAGCGGAAGTTTGACATTAATTAACAGATCTACATCTAGGCACAGTAATGTAAAGCAAAACTTGAAGCTGTAGTATAATCTTAACCGTGTAAAATGCATTTACAGCCCTCCATGTCATCATTTTTTCAAAAACGTAACGTTAACTTTGAATGTAGAAGCTTCTATAGTCTACACTGTAGAGTAAATCGTTCTTCAGGCTTACCTCTCGGCTGATGCTGCTTGAGTCTGTGTGCGCACTTTTCTGAGCCGCCTTCCGCTTTTATACAGGACACGTGCCTCCGGGAGCCCGGTCGCCCTGGCGACGTGACGTCATGTCATCCTTTGCTGCCAGGATCCATTCTGAACGAGGGGCTGGTCACGGCCTCCACACGGCTGCCATAGTAACTATAGGGATAAAGCACATGTCTTTTCAATGTTTTTCTTTTTTCTATTCACAGTAAATGTTCATATAACCTACCCGAGGACGAAACGTTATAAACATGACAAAAGAAAAAGAGGAGGGAACAAAACAGCCTGCTAAATTGATAACGTCAAAGTGTTGGAGAATGATGAAGCATTTTATTCCACGTCACGTGCAGTGATGAAGGGACGGGGAAGCTTCCACTCTTACGTCGTTCGATACGTAGACAACCATTAATAAAAATTAAAAGTTGCACTGCAAGAGACGGGAGTGGATGTCTTTAGAAAGAGGGCTCTTGTTGAATAGCAAGATCTGCATGGTGAATGTGGATGCAGGACTTCAATGTGCATTGATCTGTAAAGGACTGCAGACTGCGGCCCCTATGGAAGCTGTGTGTGTGTGTGTCTGTGTGTGTGTGTGTACCTATGGATGCTGCACCATTATGTAAGAAGTCATGAAAATAACATGTCACGTCTCCATGGTTGCTGTTCAGCTGAGGTTTATTGGCTGCATCGCTTGCATGCGGGTTGCACATTATAAAACAAAGTAGAATCGATAAAAATGAAAAATTAAAGAAACTACATGAATAGACATTGGCCAATTGATCGTATGTTGTTTTAATTGTGTACTCTGTTCCTTTTCTCCCCTTTTTTAGTTCCTCTCATCTCCTCCCTCGTCGCGTCACAGCACGTGCAGAGGTTGGTCAGATTGAGAACAAGGCTACGTGAGAGAGGACGCGTACAGCAGTGTAACATGGGAAATCCCTGCAGTGCAGGGCAATGAGGACGGTTCGTTGACCAACGCATCTGCACACATATCCTGCACATCCTCTTTTTCGTCATCTCTGATTGCTGTGACATTTCCGCCTTAAAAGGGACCACTGGATTACATTATCTATCTATCTATCTATCTATCTATCTATCTATCTATCTATCTATCTATCTATCTATCTATCTATCTATCTATCTATCAAATTAGATTTAATTAATAAGTATAGAAGAAACGCATATTCTGAGAATAAAAGCATCCTTTAGCAGACATGGCTCTCTAACATGGAGCTTTAGTTGGTTCCGGGGCTGGTTGTCTAATCTGGAACCAAATCAGATTCGTAAACTAAACAATGGTGCCATCTCCTGGACAAAAGACGATAATGCACACCAAGATTTCCCTGCTATCCACCCAGCATATCTCATGCAAAGCATCTCAGTCACAGTCTGTGATCTTAGCCATGATCTCAATGAAAAAAAGTTTAGTATTTTTCATAGATTATGTAGGTGAGAATAAAATAGCCTATTCCAGTATCATCTCACTGAAACCAAAATGTTTTCCTGTTCTCAGTTTTTTAAATATGGGCGAATCGCACAAAACAAAATGAAACAAAAAACACCAAACAAAAAAGAAATCTTAAATTATTAGACTCTATCTTTTCAAGACTGAGTATTTTACAAGATACCTTGTACATGGTCTAGTTCAGAGAACACAACCCCAGTCACGGAAAAGACAGCTGAGGGTCGTTCAGAAGATGAACACTAACACCCTTCATGATAAGTTTAAACTACAGGTTCATAGCAAATATGACAACAGCTCTTTTTACTGACTCTTGCTGTCACAAAACTACCATTTGCCTTCACTGGCATACCCTACTGCTTGTACCACATGAGGAGGACATCATAGACAAAATTGAAAGTGAATTGAAAGTCTTTGCCTGAACAGATCTACAAATATATCTTTTGTCTCTATCCTTGTACCACCTTGTGGTAATTCACATTAACCGAGTCTAAATGCGACAAATTCAACACCAGTCCAGGCCTACATTACTGCAGTAAAGCCAGCCACTGCTCCTTATTTTCAATCAACTCAGCTGCTCTTGAATTTTAAGTGCACATGTAATTATAGTGAATGCTCAGACTCCAGAACAAATGAGAGTTTGAGTGAGTAGTTTTGTTCTGTTATAAATCCCCTATCCTGACAAGTCTTTTCTTGAACTTGCAGTGAAGTGCAGAAGAGTCCTTTTGCTGAAGGGCACTCCAAGCCAATGATTATTCACTCAAAAGTTGTTTGTTCAGCGTTAATCCGAAAATACTGTCACCAATGAAAAGTAATCTCTTAAGTGGCTGAGTATGTTTTTTAAGCTCTAACTGGACTGTGGACTGTTTATCATAATGGTGTATCTCAGAAGTATGTCATATTCGTCAATTGTAATATATGCAACACAAACTTTTTATTGTTTTTTCATATAACAAGAAACAAAATTTCAGGAATATCAACTTTAACATGCTTGGAAAGAAAAACAGAAGGAGTCTGATTGGCCAAACGATATCAGCATAGTAATTAGCCAAATAAAAGGAGCACACTGATTTATCTTTCTATTTTCTACCTGTGTATGTGTGTGTGTGTGTGTGTGTGTGTGTGTGTGTGTGTGTGTGTGTGTGTGTGTGTGTGTGTGTGTGTGTGTGTGTTATCTAACTAAGAAAGTTAAAAAAAATCTGTCCTTAACAATGAGGTGAGTACAGTATCTTTATTCAAACATCACATTGATTACCACGAAATGCCACAGTCTTGGATTTGAAGCCAGAATCGATTGATTGAGAGGCAGCTGTCTTCACCGATATAAGGTTCCTTAGCAGCCTCAAAATGGAGAGATAGTCTCTTCACTCAGAGAATCATGGTTACATACTGTAACCAAACATTCTCTACACTCTCTATTGTTGTTGAGGCTATCTTCCCCCTATATATTTTTATATTATATATTTTATATGTATAGGGCCCTGTAAGATATCCTGCGAGAGGATAGAGCAGCTTCAGCCATATGAGCTGAATTGTTTATCTTTTGAATGAGGCGTTGTTGCCACAAAGAGTGCTCCAGACAAAAAACAACCCATACAGGCCTACAAATAAAAGAATAACCAACTTGTGAGTCTATTTTTATGTCTCAATGAACTATGAACAAAAATACACTATCTACACACTCCGATGCCAGTGAGTTTGTCATATAAAAGTGATGCCACCCAGTAGTAGCAAGACACCTTCACTAACCAATTCTCATCATACCGTCCCTTGACTCCCTTTCAAAGCCAACCTCAAGTGGCCATTCAAGGTACTGCAGTTTTAGCCCCTCCACTTTGGCATCTTTTCTTTTTTTTCATCCACTTTCGCGGTTTTCTACTTGTTAAACACACCCTCATTCTTAGTGCGCTTCAAAAGTACTTAGATTTGAGTTTTTCTTTATGTTAATAGTTTGCTTGGTGTTTTGTCATCAACTATGGTCCTATTTAGCCCTCAGAAACAGATACAGTAATAAGAAATATCAAACCTGAGCAGTGTGCTGTATCGTAAAAATTCAAAATAATAAACCTCAATATCCTCCATTTTCCTTTAAACTAAAGCACAACAAAATGCCACCATTTATGAGATCAGACCAGTTTATTTCTTTATTTCACCCACATGAAACAAGGAGTGTGAAAGAGACCGTTCAGGAGGCTTAAAAAAGCTCTTCAATCCTCCAGCTCAATACATTCCCTCTATGTCTGGAAGGAGCTACATTTGAAACAAAATTAAAGGAAAGTTCACCTTATTTCTTTGTGTCTCCGAAGTGAATCAATATTTATTCTTTCCACTCCTCCAAATATCTTACTTACTGTCACAATTTCATCCAGATTATTTAGAGCCCTCTCACACTCTTTGAGCTTGATAAACACACTATATGTCAGATTCTTTGTCCTGAAATCAGTTTATTGAAGATAAAATCTGGATAGGTTACAGCTAAAACACAGATGATCCCACAGATAAACTTTTACATTGCTCAAGTTACACAAAGGATTACATCTGGAGTTTTTTCTCTTTCACATTCTTGACTGAGAGGAAGTGATTAAAATGTAAAATCTTTGAAGTTGTTATGAGAGCAGTTATGGGACTTAATGTTAAACCCATCATCATGTTGAGTCGGAGTCTCATCATCACTAAGAGGTCCTGTTTACATAACTAAAGGCTGTAGTAAGAGAAGGATGGAAATCAAGCAGCTAAGAATCTATTTACTTTTCACGGATTTTCCTCAAGCTTGTCTTGTTTTTAACTTATCACTTAACATTATTTTTCAGTAAATACACACATTCTTTCCGCAGCACAGATGGTTCATTTTTCAAACCTCTATGCTTGATCTGTGCAGCAGAGGGCAGACTTTCCCTTGAACTATTCAGTGGACCAGTATATCGGTGTTTGTTTCATTGAACTTTAATCAAATGACAAATGATACAATCAATTAGCCAATGAACTTTATCAGGCTTTCTAGATTAATATAACTGAATTCACCGACAAAATAACACAAAAAGTATTTTATAGGGATACATATATATACGTTAAATACGTTAAAAGAAGAGCTTCAAAATCATACATTAAACTGGCTTTACCACTCAGTTTTCACTGTTAATGTAACATTCTCTGAGTGCTGCACTTTTCTTTTCTTTACTGCACACTTGCCCTTATGACAATTTCAACTGGAGTTAAAGAAAAGCGGTCAGGAAAAGAAGGTGGTTAACCTTTTGAACTAATCATCTCGACCTATCAACCATACAAAAATTAGACAGAGGCTCAGTGAGATTTCACATTGGTTTCTAAAGTGAAGTTCAGAGCACGCCAAAGGTAATAATCATACTGTAAATTCTGACTCGATGCAACTTTTAGCCAATATAGCATGTGGAAACAGTGCATTTGCTCACCAGTCAGTCAGGTCGCATCTGCTTCTTTATCTCTTGATAGTTGGAACAAAATCTAGGTTGAGTTAACATTTTGGGGCTTGAAGGCCCCCCGCACGGTGCCGGATATCCGGCTTGGGAGTTTTTTTTCTAAATCATGTTAAAAA